TGAAGCTTTGGAAAAGCGGGAATAAAACCCAGGAAAAGCGGGAATAAACCCGGGAAAAGCGGGAATGAAAGCCTGGAAAAGTGGGAATGAGACACTGGAAAAGGTGGAATAAATCCCTGGAAAAAGTGCGAATGAAACCCAGGAAAAGCGGGAATGAAATCCTGGAAAAGCGGGAATGAAGCTCTGGAAAAATGGGAATGAAACCTGGGAAAACTGGGAATGAAGCTCTGGAAACGCGGGAATAAAATCCTGAAAAATTGGGAATGAAACCCAGGAAATGCGGGAATAAATCCCTGGAAAAGTGGGAATGAATCCCTTGAAAAGCGGGAATGAAGCTCTGGAAAAGCGGGAATAACACCCGGGAAAAGCGGGAATGAAGCTCTGGAAAAGCGGGAATAAATCCCTTGAAAAGCGGGAATGAAGCTTTGGAAAAGCGGGAATGAAATCCTGGAAAAGTGGGAATGAATCCCTGGAAAAGCGGGAATACAACCCGGGAAAAATCGGGAATAAATCCCGGGATAACGAGGATTTCCCCAAGGACCCGTCCCGTGCCCGGCTGGAGCCGCCAATCCCAAAATTCCCGAAATTCCCGAAATTCCCGAAATTCCCGGCGCCTGCGGGTGGGGGGAGGGGGGAGGAGCTGCCGGGAGCGCGAGAATTTTCCAAGGAAATTCCAAAAAAAACCCCCAAAATCCCAAATTTTCAGGAATTTTCCCCTTAAAAAAACCCAAATTTTTCAGGAAAAAACCCCCAAATCCCAAATTATTCAGGAATTCTCCCCCCCCAAAAAAAAACCCAATTTTGCAGGAATTCTACTCAAAAAAACCCCCAAATTTTTCAGGAATTTTCCTCAAAAAAACCCCGATTTTTTCAGGAATTCTCCCAAAAAAAAAACCCCAAAACCCCAAATTATTCAGGAATTCTCCCCCCCAAAAAAAACCCCCAATTTTGCAGGAATTTTCCCCTTAAAAAAACCCCAAATTTTCAGGAAAAAACCCCAAAATTTTCAGGAATTTTCCTTAAAAAACCCCAAATTTTTCAGGAAAAAATCCCAAATTTTTCAGGAATTCTCCCCCCCAAAAAAAACCCCGATTTTGCAGGAATTCTCCCCAAAAAACCCCCAAATTTTCAGGAATTTTCCTTAAAAAAACCCAATTTTTTCAGGAATTCTCCTCCAAAAACCCCAATTTTTCAGGAATTCTCCCCAAAAACCCCAATTTTTCAGGAATTCTCCCCCAAAACCCCAAATTTTCAGGAATTCTCCCCAAAAACCCCTCCCGATCTCTCAATTTTCCGCAGGGCTGTTGCAGGAGGCGCCGTTTGAGGCGGAAAATGAGGTTTTGGAGATTCTGGCTGGGAATTCCACCCAGTCCCTCCTGGAGCGTTGTTCCGGTGAGATCCCGGAATTC